TTTACTTTCATACAGCCATGCAGATAAAACTAAATATTCAGAACTGGCACAGGTTGTCCAGAGAAGCTGTGGGTGCCCCATACCTGGCAGTGTTCTAGGCCAGGTTGGCTGCAGCTCTGAGCAACCTGGTTTAGTGGAAGATGTCCCTGTCCATGGCAGTGGGGTTGGAACAAGATGAGCTTTCAGGTCCCTTCCAACCCAGACCATTCCATGATTCTGGATTAATGATGTACTGAGATTCATAGAAATGAGAAGAGATGCTCTTTTGCACTGTTGGTGGTCATGTCAGTAAATGGGAAGGCACAGAGGATGTGTCCAGCAAAATGAAAGCGCAGGGAGATAAATAAGAAATGCTCTCTGACACCATAAAGATGACATATGCAGAGTATTGCTGTGAAGACTTGTGTCTTGAAAACCTTTGTGAGATGACTACAGGTATGCTTTCATACGCTCAGATGCACTCAGTATACATTTCATAATGAGCTGATTGTGTTCTCTTCCACTAGCTCCAGTAAGCAGGTCTTTAAAAGCTAAAAACTTCTTATCAAACACAAAATCAGTGTGCCATGGGCCAGGGAAACCAGGGCTCTGTAGCTAAGGCCCACAGCTAAGGTATATCCACTTGCAAATGCAACAAGTTTCAGATGACCAGAAACACAGACTTTGGTCCCAAATAGCAAGTACGAAAGAGAAGTGCAATCAAAAGCATCTTGGAAATTTTTGGACCCGTGACCAATGGCTTTCACAGGCTGCTTTGTTGCCACTTTACTTGTACTGTGCAGCTGGAAGTTTGACACCACAAAATGAGCACAATGTGTTTTTAGCACTGGGGAAATTTCTTACAATTTTAGTCCTTCTTCATCTTTTGGTCTCCTGAGTAAACTTGGAAACTGGTCTCCAGTTTTGAAGGAGATCTGCGCAAAGACAAGTCTCCATTAGTGTAACAGCATGAGGGAGTAGCCATGGACAAGGGTTGCCTGTGCTGTTCACACTAGGAGAGAGTCTGGCTGTGTGTGCCTGGAGGCATATTTTTGGCTGTTGGTGACTGCTGGCAAATCATGTCCTTCTGTCTGCCCAGCCATAAAAGAGGCAGCTGTAGGACTGTGTGTTGGCACCACGGCCCCTTGCAGCAAAGAAGGGTGGGCTTGTACTGCAAGCTCCTGAGGACATGGCTTTCTCACTTTTCCCAAACAGCACTTTGCAGCTGGGGGAGAAGCAACTTAAACCACCCCAGCTATTTTCCTAGTGAATACAAGGGCAGGGCCCACAGTCCTCACATAGCCCAGAGTCAAAGCATTAGTCAGCTAAAATGACACTGAGCCACTGGATGTGCTTGGACGTGCACCATCGTATGTGCTGGGCTTGGCAGCTTTCAGCTGTGTCTGGTTGAGAGCCCAGGAGCATCTCTGAAACTGCAATCCCACCCTCCACCTTCCTGCAATGCTTGGGCACAACAGCCGGGCAGAGAAGGAAAATAATCATTTTTCCACATTTATATGGTCATCATTAGGCTTAGTGGCTAATGGAGATTTGGGCAGGAGAGACTGCATTTAACTTCAAAAAGAGTAAAACCCGGTAAATTAAAAATGCTGGGTATTTGTGTAATGGAAGGAAAGTTGTGCTGAATCCCAGAATACATGAAGCTGGTACATGGCTGATGCAAGGTTTAACCATTTAGAAGATTTAATGAAAACCTTTCTCATATGGGTAGATTTCTCTCGGAACTCTAAGCTGCTTAGCAAACCAAGGCACTTGTATTCAGTTTCAGTTTTGATCTACTGCTCTTGAAAGATGCTGGCTGACATAAATGCAAAAGTTGACAGAGGTCCTGATGTGGCCTTGAAGCATCCATGGAGCAGATAAAGTGCTGCTGGGCTCCTGTTTGCATTCTGTGCTGCCATTCCAGCAGGTCTCAGCCATCCTGATGACAGAGATGAGAACTGTTTTGCTGCCAGCTCTGGTCTTGGTCTCTCTTTTGACCCTGGGAGATGGTTAGTGATATGCATATCACTCTCTCTAGAATTGCTTCAAGATAAAAGCTCACTTCACATAACGCCTTGAGTAGCCCAAATGGAAAGTTTACTGAATTAAATGTTTATGTCAAGTGAGCTTGAATTAAAGAAGCAGAAGTGAACTGTACTGGTTCTGTCTCACTCTGGGCCTCTTAGCTTTGTGTACAAAGTGTGCTGATCTGTCTCCAGATCTGCTGAAGCCCACAGGGCATATAAAAACCCCCCAGATGCAGATGAACTAAAGCTGGCTCTGCCCAGGCCAGGTATGCTCATTAAGTGGAATGACGTCCTGTCTGGCAGCACAAATTCCTAGCTTGGTGGCAGGGATGGAAAGCTTCTAGATTGCAGCTGACCCTCATCTCCCTTGTGTGGTGGACAGGCACAAAAACCTGGGCCAGTACACACTCATTCTGAACGTACTTCCAGATGTCAGGAGATAATCCTAAATTTTTAGAACACTCCAGTTTGAAACTTGATTCAATCTCCACCAAGGCACTGATGTTCTCCCTGATGCAGCTGTTGAAGTGTGGATCCAGGTGCTTTGAGAGACAGGTGTGTGCTTGCAATGGTCACTTCACTTGGAATACAGGCTCACCCTTGATACGATATTGGTGGGTTTTTTGCCCAGTTTATCTGGAAATTTCTTGGGAAAAGGGGTTTCTACATTCTATTATGGTACCACATCTTTTTTTATATTCCACTTCTTATCTACTTCATCTCTAAACATGCCCTAGAGTACCACTATCTTTTCAACATTTGAAGAGTTTATCTGTTCCTCTTTCAGGCTAGTTTGTAATTGGGAAAAATCCCTCCTTTCCTGGCCTGCTACTCACAAGACGTATACATTCCACTTTAACAGTTACTTTAGGCACCGTTTTCTTACATAAACTTTGTACATTCATACAACAATCTCTGTTTTGTAGTTTAGGGTAATAATTTTAAGGAAATCTTTCAACTCTGCCCTCAAATACAACTCTGTTTCAACACTGAAATTATAGAAATTTTAGCCTTTAATGCTGGTCCTTGGCCAAAGACATTAAATGTTACCTCATTTTTTTTTTCTGGAAGTCCAGTCACCTAATCCCAGGAAATAAAAAATAACCCTGCTAAATTTCCTACACTATTGGCATTGAATCCCAAGGAACTTCTAATGCACATGAAAAGGCATTGGACAATATCTCACTGATCAGAGCCATTTTCTTAGCTGGAAGGGAAAATACACAAATTAAATTAAAAGTAAGGAAAAAACAAATGAAAACCAATCTGTTTCGATCAATTTCTGGTGCTCCATAACTTCTGCCCTGAGCCTTGGCCTATCTGACTCCTAAGTAAACATGCATGGAAGAGAGCAGAAGCCTACCACAACCCATGTAAGAACATAGTAACTGATTAATCCTAAACTGGAAATGGTAGAAGCCAAGGAAAACATTAGCTGGAATTCGAATAATAAAAATAATATTTAGTAAGCCAGTTTAACTTGTACCCTGGTTACTGCCAAAACTTGTTCATGCTTTTTGGAGTCAAGATTGATGGCTAGATGGTCTCCCTCAGTTTGGAACACAAATGGAATATATTTGCTTCTAGGTTGGTCCAAGTTAAAAACCAGCTTTCACTAGGAGTTATATTTATTTTGATGATTTTTTTTTTCTTTTTAAGATAATAGAGACATTAAAAAGCAAACACAAATATACTTAATGCTATTTATTTGACATGTAGCTTGAGTGCTTCTCAAGTCGAGGGGCCAATTTTGCATTCAGTTGTAACCAAGCAAAATCTGTGGTTTATGGTTCCAAACACAAGTCTGATTTCCAGAAATGCTCATGTTGGCTAACAATGAACCTTTTCAAATTTTGCCAGCTGGTAAGTGTAAACATTTTAAGATACTTCTAAATGGAAACAGAAGTCAAATTTCTTTCCATACCATAAACCTCATCATACTAAGACTATAGTGTCCCATGTAACAGTATTTTTTTAAAGAAGGAAAGCTTAGTGTTTTCTTTTACATCTCTGGAAAAAGCATTTCTGCAAAAATTTGCCAGGGCAAACTTGCAAATCAAGATATTTTAACTTGGAGAATGGCTCTGACCAAGTTATTTAAATTCAATATTTGTTGTCCCTGAAGTATAACTTAAGGAAAATAATAAAAAGCGGTATTAAGTATTGTAAGAAGAATACATTAACTGCACTCTAACTCCTCTTAAACCCTCCTGATGAATGTTAATTTGACATTTGGCAAACCTTCAAGAAAAATATCATTAGCCAATATGGGGCTGGAAAAATTTAGTCTTTCAAAAACCTGGGCCAAGAAAGGAAAGAACATACATACAGAAAGAGTAAGAGTATTTCTACTCTGTACGTCTCAATTTTTTTTTTTTTTTTTTTTTTTTTTTTTTTTTTTTTTTTTTTTTTTTTTTTTTTTTTTTTGGCATATGAAATATTCTTTGCTACCAACTGGCTCAGACTGCCCAGGCTGTAAGCCTGTTCCTGACAGTGCAGCAGCAGGGACACAGCAAGATGGCACATGGTGGCATCTGCCCTCAAGACACAGCAAATTTTCTTTACAACTAAACCACACTCTCCAATTTCTAATCTGCTTAGACTGTGAAAACAACTAAATAACCAGTCTATCTATTGCTAGGGATAGTTTCCAACTAGAGACTATTGGAGTCTTGAGCTTTGCTTTTCAGAACCGTACACCTTTCAGAAGTGAAGACACTCGGGCATGAGTGGTCTTAACATTATTTAACCTTTACATAGCAGAAGGAACTTTATGGTTCTTCTAAGTAGGTACTCTGAGGTTTAAGGTGCTTTTATTTTGCATTCCAACAGAAGGTTTGTGAATTCTGGCAAATTAAATTTCATTTGAGAATCAACTGTAAAACTACAGGAAAAGAAAACTCTACACTGAACATAAATCTGGAAATATAGTTATAACTTAGTACAGTTAAATAGCTGACAATGGGTTTGTTCCACTTCTTGGACTGACCTACACTTTTGTGTTACCAGTCTTCTCGTTCCCTAGTGGTCAATATTCAGGGCAAAGGATTTAAAAGTGAACAAAGCTCAGCAGCTGGAGCCTTTTCTGCCAGCCATGTGACCCCTGGGAACATTTGTCAGTAAAATGTTGGTGGTCCACTTAATTTCTGCATGATCAAAGTCTTTAAATCCAAGCTTTCTTTTAGTAGCGCCAAGCGATGTTTATTTGTAGTTTTGCTGTGTTTATTCTGGTTGAAGGGACATGTTCAGCCTGCTTTGGATCAGCTGATGTGCTGATCCTGTTTCACCTCTGAGTGACAGGTGTTTAGATAAGGACCGATTTTGCAGATGGAAAATGTTAGGCAAAAAGAAAGCACTGACAACTATGAAGTTGTGATGACATGAGCTCCTAGAAGATTTCTTACAAAAAAAAAGCTAACTGGCTAAGCTATGCCAGCATTTTGCAGTAAAATGGCATAAGTGACTGCCCATCAAGACTGGCTGTATTTCAGCAACACGATACAATCCCCACATATAAAGTTTTAATGTCACTTTTATAAACCCTGTCATGTCCAGTGAATGAGTGGTTCTGGTTTCCTTCTCTATGGGGCACCAAACCACCCTTGTCCTGCTCCCCCATCTCCTGTCATCACTGCAGTGGCTTTGCCTACATCTTTGCAAACGCTCTTTCTGTTCACACCCCTGCTTCTCCAGCCCTTCCTGAGTGGCTCCTCCTCCATGAGCTCCCTGGATGCCTTCCCTGCATCCTTCTCCAGCCTGGAGCAGTTGTCAGGATGAAGCCCAGGATGATGAGCCTGGCTGGTGCCACTGCTTTGCTGCTCAACTCCAGTGACTGTTTGCCTTTCTGGCTGGCTGTAAGCTGCACCACAGTGAAGTGTAATACAGTGGGTGTGCACAGTGGGTGTAAGTGTAAGGGTGCACTACACCGTGTAGCTATCTGACTTAGGTGCTCTACAATTACACTGTATTATTGAAGCTGCTATCAGATGGATTCTCAAAGGTGTTTCTCTCATTTGAATTCCTCCAGAGACTAGGACTGTGTTAAATATCACTCTATAATTTTTTGGAAGCCAGTCTTTCAATTTTCCTGTTAAATTGTGAGTTTATTAGATCCAGCACTAGTTACAAAAAAGGTGCTGATATCACATAACCTAAGTTTAGCTTAAGATTTCAAGAACTGGGCATGCAGAACTTAATTCTATGTATTTGTCTTTTGATCTGCCCACGTGTAACAAACAACTCTAGAAAGCTTGGCTTACTCAGCAGAACTCATCACCAACTATAGTTCCACAAACTTTATCACATCTATCACAACATACATCACTTTACCTGTCTTGCTGTCAGTATATCTCCCACTTAACTGTGATGTGCTAAATCAACATTCAATGAACAATGTACAGGATCTAATTGGAGCTACAGGATACAAGGTTCAGGCTGTCATAAGGAAATCAACATATTCATGGGATCACAGAAATTTCCACTCTCATTAAGATTTCCCTCAGATACCCAGAGTCAGAGTTTACCTCATTCAATTAATAATTTTGTCCTCAGAAATAATAGAATACTCATCTTTCTACAGCACAAACATACCTGTAAATGCCCTCCACGAGGATGATAATTTTTCTCCATGCTCTGTGAGTGCGAGGCTGCCCATATATTATTGCATCTCTCAGCAACTTCTCGAGGCTCTGCATATCTTTATTTAAAAATAAGAAAAAGGAGGAAGGAAAAACATTAACAGTTTTTTGTCAAGAACTTTCAATTTTATCTTGGGTGCTATTTTTCCTATTCAGAAAAAGATGACATTAAAAGACAACATTAAAAAAAAAGAGTGTCCTAAAGATAAACTTCTTTTATTAGTAGGCAAGACCCAACATTGGTCTGTGGTGTGAATGCAATTTAGTGACAAGAAGAGTTATAAAAAGGTTCCAGTTATGCACCTGATCTGGACAACTTCAAGAAATACTCAGCATTCATCTGTATTTAAAGGCAAAAGGGAATCACTTTGCTTCAGTTCTGAGGCTCACTGCCATCAGTTCTGTGTAGAGGCTGCTGACACTCGTAATTTATCAAGGCTTCGGTTGTGAGTTTTGGTTGTTTTCCAACCACAAGCTCACAAACAATAACCATTTTTTCAGCAAAGGTTTTGACAAGGTTGCACGAAGCATGTAAGGATGGCAGCAAGAGAAGCCTTGTTCTCCTCAAGAAGGAAAGCAAGTGGAAGGTTGCTGATGAGAGAGGAAGAGGCAGGTGGATACGAACACCTGGCATGGATAGACTAATCTGGTGCCTAAATGCTTGGCACTGCTGGGACTTCAATATAAGGAGGTCTGAAACAAGGTTATGATCCTTAGCTGCTTCCTTAAGGGCTGAGTGTGGGTCATCAAAAATATCGTGAAGGAAAACCATTGACATTTTGAAAAATATGGAAGAAGCAAGGAAAAAATACCACAGAAATCAGGATCAGGCCAAATGTGACTCTCAGTGCACCAGCATTCTGGTGTCTCCAATGAACGCACACTCTTCAAAAGGAACTATTCAGGTACTTTTCAGGAATCTGGATTAGCATTTCAAAATGTTTTCCAAGAACATCCAAGAGAGTCTCATAATAGCCAAATAACACTACAGATGAACTCAAACTGTGGGCTGAGAAAATCAATGGCATTTTTCCACAATATAACCCCATTTGCTTCAGCAATACATCTTAACACAATGATACAACCTTCTACAATACCACAAAGTTAATGTGTAAAATGCATTTTCCTGAGGGAAAAAAAAAAAAAAAAAACACCTTAGAAATTTTAATATTGATCCATAGTTTGGTTTCTGCCCTAGGGGAATGGAGCCATCTGCACATTAATTGCCCATTGTTAGTAACCTGTGCCCTGAGAGATGGCCAGGTTATGACATGAACCCTTCCCCATCCTGACGCCTCACCCATTCCTAGGAACATTCAGTGATGTTGGTGGAAGGTAAAGTTCTCAGTAAGGAAACTGCCACTCTGCACCTGACTTAGCAAGTCCCTGCTGTACCGTACAAAGCACACAATAGGCATGGACAATATCAGTTGCCCCTTCTATCCGTGGTGCAATGGCCTGCACACCTCAGTGAGCTCTGAGATGGAAAATGCTGCTAGGAATAATGCAATGCACAGCACACTTTCCACTAGATGGCAATCAAGGAAATGAAAGTTCTTTAGTGCTTCATATGGGGAAGTTATAACCAAACTGAGAATCTGCAGCTGCTCACGTTCTCTTTTGCTTAAAGTAGATAATATTTAGAATTCTCTTAAGGGGTTCCCTCAGGATGACAGAGAGGTCACAGTAAAATTTGGACACTCCCTTTTCTCTACCAAATTATTCTCTAGTGATGTCACTGTCTTCTAAATTCTTTTGGGACCTTTGAACCCCTTTTCTGAATCACACAGAGTTTTCCAACTCAGTGTTCTATATGTCAGTCCAGATTGGCTCTTGACTTCAGAAAAGTCATTTTGCCTCTGAGCTAAAAGCATGGCTTGAAGATTTAGTTGTTTTAGCACATACACATGAAAAGAAAAAAAAAAAAAGGAGAGAGGAAATGAAGTGAAATGTGTATAATTCTATTTTGAAAAACACATGCCTGTGAATAGGTCCTCTGTCCAAACTACTGTGAGACATGAGACCTCAGACTGGGGAGAACCTCTCCAAGAGACAAGGTTGCCTGATTTTACACATAATATAGTCCTGCTGGAGTACAGGCTAAGAACATGTCTGTTTGCAGGATCAGGGCTATCTCACTTTCTTTCTGACATCTCATTTGGAAAAACATATATGTTTGACCCTTTCTGAAACCTGTAATAGTCAACACATAATTTGTTCATGTGCAAATGAATTTTACTGATCTATTAACTGCCTCATTTGGAAAGGGGAAATAGGCATAAAGAAAAAAATCTTTAGTATTCCCCACAAAGGCTGTTTCTGTTCTTCAAGGTGAAAACAGTGCTCTATGTGCTTGTGCTTAAGCTTTTCAGACAGTGGGATATACTGAATGCCAGGGAAAACAACAGCACAACCCAGATGACTTTCAGATATCAATTTACTCATTAAATATAGTGAGATTGAGAGATGTTAGGATATTAAGATGATGAGCTGCACGAGTCCATCTTGAATTACCAGTAATAGAGAAAATAACAGTCCTTCCTTGTTTGACTATCACCAGCCCAGGGTCTTCAGCAGCAATGGCCAACAACTGCTCACCAGCTCAGGAAGTGGTGTTAAGAATTTGACTTGATTAATCAGTCAAAGCACAACCCAATCTATCCACGTTTCACTTTCCACCTTCTCCTTACAGCATATTCCCCAGATATGGAGGATAAAGTTTCCTAAGAGGGGACAGTGGATCTATCAGTGGGTTGGTGGACTTGCATAATCCTTGTTTGGGATGTCTCATAGTTAAATGCAGAGCAATACCAAGAACACAAACTGCCAGTGGGCTGAAGCAAGTCTGGACCTGGGCAGGCAGCGTGTCATACTGCCTGCAGTGCAGGTGGGACAGAGGCTTCTGGAGGGAGCACGGCATGCTCAGGGAGACACGACGTCTCCACCCCTCATCCTTACACTGCAATGCTGGGAGTGTCATCATCGTGCCTCTGTGTGGGCTGGAAACCTCCTGTGTGATGGCAGTTGAATCCTGTTTAATTAAAATAAAGAGGCTGCTGCTACTCTTGGCACATTCTCCTTTTTGCTTTGCGCTTGTAACTCTGATTTTCAGCTTCTCCCCTTTTGCGCTCTCATGCACGGTGGCACAGAGCCCGTGGCTACACACGAATATCTGTGTTTGGAACGTGGGAGTGCTGATCACTGCAGCCACAGCAACAGTCTGAGACTCCCCTCCCTGCCTCTCAATAAATACCAATCTCTCTGAAAGTAAAGGGCAATGGCTCAAGAGCGGAAATGGCCAGTCAGATGTCGCTTTCTCAAAGCAGAGAGGGCAGACATGGCGTGCAGGGAGCAGGACAGACCAGTCTCCTTGCCGTGGCAGCGTCTGGATGTGTCACAGGGAATTGGGAATTACACACCCAACTGGATTGGGCTGCAGTCCACCTATCTGGGCAGCAATCTTGTCTCTGATAGTGGCCAGAGGCTTCCAGGAGCCCAAAACTTTAGTGGGTAATGTGCCTTTCATCCTGCTCTGTAATAGTTGTTAACACTGCCCTCCCTTCTGAAATTCAAGGGCTACCTACACAGTTGGAAAAAAATTTAAAAATTAACTGTCTTGTACTAAGCCACCACAAACTCCTGGTGCTTTGCAACCGAAGAGATCTCTTTCTAATTTTACCTGTTTATGTATCGCTTTCAATTTTCTATTTTATTTACTTCCTTAATTAGTTGCACTTAGTTTTCTACTTTCTTCTTTTTTTTTTTTTTTCCTTTTTTTTTTTTTTTTTTTTTTTTTTTTTTTTTTTTTTTTTTTCCATTTTATTTCCTTATTTTTAGCTAGAGAATATATTTGCTATGAAAGGTGAAGGCCTTCTGCGACCTAGAAGTTCCTTCATTATTAACCACAGCTCCTCCAGGTAGCTGTGCATTCTCAAGGTGTCCTCATGGCACTTGTATCTAAACTGCAAAGCAGTAATTTGACTGAGTAGACTGAGAAATGCCAGAGTTGGATTAACATAAATTCACAACTGTTGTCCAAGCTGGAAACTGTGTTTTGCATGGCAACCTGGACAGCTCACACCTGCATCACAAACTTGTCATCAACTACTTGATCTGTGAGAAAATAAAGAGTCCCTTACTACTTTCACAACATTGAAAAGGTGCATGAGGAGGAGCTAGGAGTGTATTGCCCTGATTGCCACTTCAGATGCAGATCCAAGCACCAGATTACAGGCTGGATTTTCACCTAACCAATGTGCTTGGTTATGCTTTGCAATTCCCTGCCTTCCTCATAGGATCACTTGTTCTGACTGCTCAGTGAATGCAATGCATTGCAATCCCTGGCAATGAAGAGATCTGCAAATATTTTTTCCCCCATGGCCTGAGTTCTGCACCTTGTCACAACAATCCCACGGACTTTTCATGCAATTGCAAATCTAAACCTGAAAACAGGACTGCAATTGAGTTGCTTGATGCTACATGGGGAAAATGTAGTAGAATTAGAAAGATTGAATTAGAATTAGAAAGAATTAGAAAGATCCTGAACCTTGTATAGTGCCTTCTTTTACAGGCTGGTAAGAATAGAACTCACTTGGATATAATTAGTCCACAACACCCTCATCTGTTCACTGAAGGAACACCTGATACCAGCATAAGACCCAGAACTGCTGTGAGAGAAGCACCTTGATAAAATCACAGGCTGATTAATGGTTAAATATTTGGTTTTGCTTTTCAGGTTTTATTGGAAGGGTCAAGGATTTTGGCTAATACTTAAGGAGATAAAGGTCAGAGGTCCTGAAAAAGGGTTTTTAAATGTATGGTGTTAGTAAAAGATTGCCTTAGAAATTAAAAAAAAAAAAGACCTAAAACCTACAGTCAGTCTCTCCCTGAGCCAGAAAGTAAAAACATCTGAGTTTAGCCCCCATTTAACTGAGGGACCCCCGAGGCTGTCACTTAGGGAAGGTGGGAGTGACTCCCTGGAGACCAAGGCTGGTGAGGGTAACATCAGACACCTTCTGGCAAAAAAACCTAACCAAGGCCAGGCCACTACTGCCCCAGTGGTGGAGAGATGTTTTAGCATCCCACCTTCTCCCACTGCACTCTGGCTGTTGGACTGCTGCTGCCTGAGTTCCAGTGCAGCAATGCAACTCTGTCCTGTCTTCACAAAAAAAAATCACTGCCCAGGAAATGGCAACCTGAGTGATGTCCCCAACACAGCAAGGGAGACGAAAGGCAGATGCTTTATGGGCAGGTCAGAATGATTTTAGTCCATTAAAACACTACTGCATACATTTAGGACTGCTTAGACCCTAAAATAAAATTGAAAAAAAAAAAAAATCCCCTAAACCTGTGATTCAGAGCAGGGGCTCTAGGGAGCTGAACTTTGCTGCTTGCATCCACAAAATCTCACAAATGCCTGACACAGAAAAAGTCCCTTAAAGGCCAAAACCTGTGTGCCAATACTGCTGTGCCCTTAGCAGGGTGAAGACTAGAGACAGTGCTGAGAGCACACAGGAAGGGAAGGTCCTGTTCAGTAGAGTTTAGTTGTGGGGCTAAGATGGAATATTCTCTTACATTTCTCTCACACACATCATCTGTAAGTGTGTGTGCCTGTGCATTTCTCTCAGCCCAGGCCTGTAAATTCTTGTCTGTTTACAAGGAAGGGATTGTTCACTGCCAGTCAGGATGCAGAGCACATTCCTATGTCCAAATAAAAACAGACTTATAGGTGCACAGCACATTTTTTTTCCTATTATTCGCTTTAAGGCATGAAAATCTTCTCGTACACCCATGCAATGTTTTTGTCAAAAAGGAAAGATATCCAGATACCTTTTATTTCACCTAGGAAAAGCATAGATGTGTAAGGATTTTGTCTGTTCTAGAAAAGCTATACAGAATTTTATGGAAAGTGTAATGTCTAAGAGAGCTACCCACTTATTGAAATAGAACTTCATTAACTTTTGTAAGAATAAGAATTACATTATACATAATTAAGGTAATAGGTAGAGATTCTTTCCTGTCTTACAAATGAAATAATTCTCTATTAATAATAAAATAATAGTTAGTTACTTTTGAAAGATGACAAATCAGTCCTCTATTACAGATTTCATGCTTTGAAATAAAGTAATAGTTTTACAGAATTAGCTACAGTACAGCCTTTGAAAGATGAAGGTACTTCATAGCAAGTTTAAAATGGTAGATTTTATTCTCTTTTCTGTGAAATATTTTTGACATAGAATAAAGTTTTATATCATTTTTCTTTAGACAAAGAGTTTTTCCATAACAGAGCAGGGAAAGTGAAGAGGAGAGAGATTTATGCAGGTGTTAGAACTTGATGGTGAAATCAATGCTTGTTAAAGATCATAAAACGGTATCTTAAAGTGCAGAGTTTTCTATTCATGCACAGGGAACCTTGCATTCACACCAAGCAGTGTGTCATGGAGCATGGCTCAGTTCTGCTATTCCTAGGCATGACAACAACAGCACGAGCACAGGCTGACAATTTGGGCATGCCTGTATATGTCACATACCCACACATTAGCAAAAATTACTCTGGGAACATAAGAACACAGCTCTGGTCTAACTAAATAAACATCTGTCTAACTGAAAAGAACTTTCCCAACCCAAGATGGAATTTTTGGCTACTTAATTAATACAGTTTTGGTCCTTAATTTTTTTGCTGCACTAACTTGTGTTACACTGCTCCCTGACAGACTCAAAGGGCACAAGGTTGTCTGCTCCACTTAAAAAAAAATGCATCCACAAAGGCAGTCCTGCTGGGTTGTGCTTTCCACTGCTATCTACCCCAAACACATCCTATTTCCCCCAAAGCAAGAGGCACTTACATACATCTCTGCATGTGTGGTTTCAGTTGTTAGTGATGTGTAATTCATGGTATGATTAAGGAAATATTAAAACCCACAACTTTCAAACAATAGAAATAACAAGCTGAGGGACTCAGAGTGGGCTGAGTGGAAGCATGGGCACGTGAAGCTTCTTCTTGAAGTGCTCCCTAAATGCAGCTTAGGCTCAAGACTACGAAACTGTGACAAGAAAAGCTGTCACTCAACTCCACACAGCACTTGCAGAAGTTTCTGAAGTTTCATTTTGGAAGAAAGCTAAGGTGATATCCCACCAATGGCATATAAGACTGTCTTTGGTAATTAAGATCTTTAATCTTGAAAGCAATGAGTTTTTCCAAAGCAACTTGGATAGACTTCCACTGAGGTTTGCCAAGGTCCTTAAAGGAACTGTCTGCATTTTCCAGTGCTAGATTAGTGCTGTTTGGACAGCTCACTATTATTTTTAGGTTCACCCATTACTCAGAAAAGCATCAGCTTTAATTTACTGTCAGTGCAACAGAAGCTGGTTAGGTATCAGGTTCTGGGGAGGAGAATGAGATATTGAGGAATTGTTAGAGACTGAATTCCTTAAAGCAAGCATGACAGTTCCAGGTGATATCCTCACAGCTGAGAGCAATATACTCCTCAAACTGAAATGTTTTCTGAAATGATGCTGGAAGTGACACAAGCCAGTTGACTGCACACAGCATAGGTGGGTGGAGAGGCTGAGAGTGTTTGGATTTGGGTATTAAAAGGTCAGCCTTCAGGATGTGATGTAACCTGATTGAATGGGATAAGGCTTTGAACAACCAAGGAAAAGTTGAGAAAAGACTGGTGTGGCAACCATACTTGGCATATCCAGATTTGTGGAAGTGGACCAAGTTGGGGTATGCTACAGTTATTCTATGAATAATTAATTCTGTAAAAATATTCATGGTCAGATGGTCTTTAAGCCTTGAATGATCTTCAGAAATTGCTTCTTGCCCAAATTATGAATTGATATTAATGATAACAACATCTTATAGTATAATTATAGTGTGCTTTTCATTCCAACTCATCCTTAGGCCTTTTACAGCATATGTATAATTCATTTTTTGCTTCCCTTAAGCAACACTTAGTAAAGACAAGGGACTGTATTAGCCATTAAGAAAGGTAATCAGACCACTCTTCTGAATTCTCACCAATACACTAGCTTCTAAACCTTTTATACAATCACTGCCTGGTGGCAGCAGTGAGGATGGAAAATGAAATTGGAAAAAGGAATTGGAAAAGAACATCTCTTGTCATCAAAGGCAGTCCCAATGTCTGACAGTAACCACAGCAGCACTAACTAAATAAAAGTTAGAGAGCATGAGCATTTTAGAAGATAACTATAAAATTGCAAAGCTAATGTGTGATTTCTATACTAAAATTCTATTTCAAAGAATATTTGGGATGATGCTGTTGATATAAGCATCTGCATCTTCACTCTTAGATCCCTGGGAATTCAGAGTAACTGCTTTAAAGAATGCCATGTTAAGGTAATTCTGGTTTCACTGAACCTTCAGGAAACAGGCATGTTTTTGTATGTTTCTACTGTTTGGGCTACAATGACAATAACAATAAAAGTTTTGTGGCATCACACAGTCATTCACCAAGTCAAAAAGACACAACAGCAATTATAGTATTGCCCTATTAATTTTTCCCATCAGAAACCACTCATAATATTAAATAGTTGATCCTCTTTCCTGGACAAAAGTATCATCTGGTAACTGACAGCAAAGTAAGCATTAAAAGGAATCATTCTTGCCTTTTGAGGTGTGAATAACTCTATCTCTAAAGTTTTCCAACTTCAATACTCACTATTATGCTTGAAGATTCTAATAGTGGCACCTGAAAGCCTCGCACCGAGAACAAGAGAAGTGTGGTTCAACTCATCACTTAAAATGAGGCAGCCCTGTGGAGAAGGAGTACAGTGAGCATCTGCATGAGCTGGGAGGCTGCTGCCTCGTGTGCATGTGTGTGCCAGCAAACACACGTGTCTATCACAGAGCATTGCACCAATTAAGCTGTAAGGGTTAAACATTAAATGAATTTTCTGCCACTTTCCTGAAGGTGCACTGGAAAGGCATGGAAATAGTGGGATAAAATTCTCGGGCATCCCCAGGTGATGCATAGGGGTCCAATATTTCCTATAACTGGAAAGCAGCAAATAACCCTATTAAAGAGTGAGTGCTTTATAGTAAAATCAGGTGGTGTAGCTTCCTCTATCACCTGTTCACAGCCCATTTTGAGTTGCAAGGAAAATGCAGCCACCACCCCACATACAAAGACTGCAGGACAGTAGTGTAAGGAGAAGCAATATTGAGGCTGGCCTGACATCAGCTCTTCAGACTGCAGCAATGAGATAAGAAGAGACTGATGCCTTGTAAGTTCCACCTCCATTAAGATGTGAATGAAGTTTAGGAACCAGAGTCTTTCTCTGGTAAATGCATGTACAGTTGACCTGCAGTATCCTTTTTATTAATTAACTTAGTTAAAAACTCATTTTGCTTTTAGAAATAAAAATAGAAATGTCTGAGAAGTAAATTTGTCTATTATATTAACAAGGGGCAGAACTCACAGTTGAAATTCAAGCTTGAACCCTTGTTTGGCTCTGCTTTCTACTGAACATGTTTTGCTGTGTTTCATTATCCAAAGGGTAAAACATAATTAAGCAAAAACTTATTCTGGAATCATAGATTAGGCCTAGGTTTAGAGATACTCACACAATCTCCACAGAGACTGGTTTGCAGAACTAACAGTAAGTGTAGATGCAGCTTGACAAGAAAATGTAGCTGCTAGTCTTAATTGTAGAGGGAAACATAGGAGTAAAACTATCAAACATAGGGTAGTTGAATAATATTTGTAATATATATAATAATAGATACCAAATTTTTACCAAATTTTGTAACACATACCAAATATACATATACACACATATATTTATTTCTTAAAAATACATACAGTAATATCTTTATTTGTGCCACTTATATCTATCTCACCTCTGACAGAGGCTTGAATCTCTACATGAAGCCAGGTAAGGGAGGGAAAATTATCATACAGCTAAGAAAAGTGTCACACACTGCATATCTCCAATTTCACAATTTACCTTCATTAATTCTCTGTATCTGTTCCCCTTGAGACTGACTGGACAAGTTCTCCAGCACTGCTGCAGACTGAAGTTCAAGCTCTGGATAACTGAATTAAGTCTCACATGTACAACTGTGTACATGTATTTTAGAGATCTTGCAAAAGCTGCAGTCATCTTCAACAGAGAGTGAAGAAGTAACTTCACCTCTATGCTGGTGTTTCAGAAGTCTTGGTCATACACCACAAGCTGAATTCATTCTACCTTCACCAAGAGGGAGGTGATGTTTTGTGCTTGCATGGCACACTTCAAGCTGCTCCACACCTGGACAAGCCAAGGAGGAGTTGCCCACTTTGCAGCTGGCACAGTGCACCCGTTTGTGATGTCTGCAGCTACCAGGGGCAGGGTGATGGATATCCATGCCTGTGAGTTAGGCACTCCAAACTGGAGAGGAGGACCCTTCAGCACCAAGTAAGAATCCAACATTTGTAACATGATCACAGCTTTAGAGTTGCATTTGCTGCCAGATTTCTTTGCAGGGCTGGCTGGAACCTCTGTTCACCAGGAATGCTAAGCACTATGCTTTTCCTTTTCTCATAGTGTTGTAAAAACTATCCTGATCATCATCTTTCATCACAGGCAGCTGGGCAAAATCTCAGCAAGTAGCCTAAATACTTCCTCCCACAACAACTGGACATGGATTCAACATTTGGTTACTTCTTAAGGAGAAGCAACTTCATTAAGAGGAGCTAGAGAGCTGTATCACTGATCCTTAAGCAGATGTTAGGCATGTGTGATAGCAACACAGTGATAAAGGAGCATATTTAAAGTCACAAGGTTATCAGCTTTATGACTCACACATTCCTGATACCAAGCTCTGTTCCTTGATCAAGCCTTTCCATTCACTGAAAGCCCAGAGTACTGCAACAGTAGTTAAAACAATTAATAAACAATTGTTCTAGGTGTTCCTTGAAGGAAGTACTCACCTTTCCAACAAGGGCTGGAATATTCATTGAGTTAGTTGCAAAGCCCATGCCAAACACCATAGCATCTTCCACACCAAGGAACGTGGCCACAAGTTTCTCTAGTTCTACATGTTTGTCTAGGGTGCCTGCAGAAATAAGCACAGGGAATATTAAATCTGATTTAACTGTGAAAGTTATTATGACACAAAACATACAAAAGAACAGGCTAGAAGTGTGTCATTAAGCTATGTGAAATTAAGTTCTAATGAGGGTTTTCCATTTGTATCCTGTGCATGTGGGCTAATGCAAGAGGTGCAAACCAGCTGTGACTAATGCTAACAAATACTGCTGTTAGGGCAGCAAAGCAGTTGCTATGGGAAAAAAGGTTCCTTTTCCCACAATGACTTTTGACACAGTTTATTCTGAAGACTATGTTTTTGTCTTTTTCTCTCCTCTAGAATGAGGACAAAAATATATTCTTTCTGTAGGAAATATGGGACTAACATTTTAGGCATTCTTGAGTTCTCACCAGATGTGAAAAAAAAAGAGCGACAACAAAATTCTTCCTTTTCTATTGTCTGTCAATATATGTGTACAAAATTCTTAATTAGGATTTTATATGGATAGAAAAACAAAAGCATTCTCCATATTTTTCTGCTTTGGGAGGTAAAAGCTGTTTCACTCCCCATAACTGATGATAACTTTGCTCTTTCTTTCCTCTCAACAGCAAACATAAATGATAATGCAACAACAGAGATTCTTCTTTATTACATATTAATTGTCTAATACTAGTGCTTGAAGTCTCCAAACAAGTAAGGTTCTCCAACTATCCAACAAAAGCAGTATCCTTCCTGCCCAACTCACAGTGAAGGATGACAAAATACAGAAGGCAAACAAAGCAAAGAGTGGTGTTAAGAGACTGAGATAACAGATAGCTTTGAACAGTAAGGAAGCATCTCAACTTGCCAGCTCTCTAGTCTTTGGTTGCCTGGCTGTGCATTGCAGGACCAAGGCAGAAGGAACTCTTACAGGATGATCTGTGGGGAAGAAAAGAGAGTAACCTGTGGATTCTGAGAGAGCACTTCCCCTATGAATAAGGCTGTAATCAGAGAACAGAAGAAAAAAAATAGGCAAATGAATATGTTACCTCTCTTGCACTGCACAAGCTGATGGCACTTTAATAATATAAAGTGAATTACAATGGATGGAACAAGAAAGCTCTGTTCACTGTGGTGGACAAAAGGCAGATGAGTGGAGGAACCCAGAGGCTTGGCTAGAGTGTCTCAACAAGAATGATGAGTCAGGATCTTATCTTCATCATGGAGCAGAGCTCATTAACAAAAATCAAATATAAATGGGAGGAGAACAGTTTCAGCAATAGCAATAAGTCAGCTGGTTACAGTGAAGGAGTGTTTTCATTATTTTTCCTCATTAAATATCTAAAGTAAGAATGACATCCATTTGGAAATAGAATGTGGAAAATATCTATCAGGCAGGCAGGTAACTCTCCAACTATCAGGGAGATAAGGGACAAGGATCATGTGGCTTCTTGAAAAACCTGGATTATTACATGGACAGTAAAGAACAGCAGTACTGCTGAGATTTTTCCAGAGCTTTCCTGGTAGTTCTAGACCTGAGCCTACTGCAGCAGAGCTTCAAGAGTGTCTCTGCCTCCCTTGTATCACATTGCATGTACCTGGAGCTGGGTTGTCTCTGTGCTCTGAGAATTAGGTAATGTGACACAGAAAATGTGGCTCTGCAGAAACTCCTCTACGTGGGAGCTGAGTCTGTGTGAAGCTCTTTGAGGACGGCTATTTTTTGAATTTGTACATCCCAAGACACACGAGGATATGAGCTGGCTCTGCACACAGCCACTGTTTAGGACCCAGGTTCTGTGAAATACAAACCAGTGTTTGAGAGCTGGAAATGTGGGTAAGAATCTGTCTTAAGGTGTAAGCCCAGCAGGACTCAGCATGTATTTCAGTGGTTCTGTATTTTTCGTGAATTGGGCCCAGCTAGTCTTCAACCTACAGCACTCATGAACAACTAAGAGTTCCAGCAGGATCAGCTGCCTGATAACATCTTCCCTGCAGATGTTATTTTGTCACTCAAGGGCTATCAGCACACCAAAAGAAGATGAAGTCTGAAATGGAAGCGTGAAGCCAAGCACACTATGGTCACAGCTTGAATTAGAAGGTTTGTGAAAGCATGAGAAACAAGCAATGTGTGATTTGCAAGACAGGCATTTTAAGGCATGACACAATTGTCCCTGACTCTTCTAGGGATAAGTCTGACACTAGGGTGGAGTTAAATTGCTTTTTGGGGTTGCATCACATGTTTTCTGTTTTTATAAACAGGAAAGGCCTGACTCAATACAGACTGTTCTGTTAAAGCTCCAATTACATGACCAACAAAAAACCAGCACAATTTGCATCTATTTTTATTGATTTTGTCATGGTGAAGAATGACTCATTTTGATAGTGACTGATTCCTACTTATTATTTACTAACCCTAAGTGCTAATGCAGATGATACTGTACATAACTACTGCCTACAAATCCTGGAATACAAATTGAAATTGGTTAGCAAAACAAAATTCTGAATGGCAAAGATTTGCAAAATGAGCCCTGGTTTTGAATCATGTTAATTATCGTGGCAATATTGTTGGTGGTAAGGAAGGTGCTGCAGAAGCAATACAACACCATCAGTGGGAGGTTCATGAAAGCTGAATACATTGAACAGAGTAGAAAAAGCATATAATCATGCAATGATTTAATCATATCAGGAGATATCTCTACACCAGATAACCCTGGACACTGTACATCAATTCTATCACCTCTCTCCACTGGAAGAAACAAGTGGTCAGAAATGCACTGCTGGGATGAGGTTTGTCCACTAGCATTCCCAGTTAGTCACATCCACCACCATGACACACATAACCAGCACTAGCAGACAGATGCAAATTTGATCCAAAGGAACTGGCACAAGCTGAACCATCTCAGCATTTCAAGCTACATAACAAAGGCAGTAATTACACAGCTCTTCATTAAATACAACCTTAGAGATGTCAAGTAAGGTTATCTTGGCCCTTAAAATGTTTTGTATTGTGCTAGATTCAAGACTGGTATAATGATCTGATGAATGAAAAGTGATATATTAGATCTATCTTTTTAATATACTGCACACACAGATACTTTCTAAACTTGCTCTATAAACAGATATTAGAATTTCCCCACTGACTGACTACACCTTGTCTTGACCCAGCAAATGAGGATACAGCTAAATAATGTACACCAAATCACCAGAAAATACTTAAGACAAAAAAAAAAAAGAAAAAGGTACCTGCATCTTTAAGAGACAAAATCCTTTTGAAAGTTACTCTTCCCTGCTGAACAGCTTTATCTAACACAATACAGCAGGAGTTACTGCGATCCAAGACTATATAGGTATTAAGATCACAGATCATATCAAAAGTGCACTTTCACAATGAGAACCACCTCCACAGATTCCCACACTTCTCACAGCAAATCCCCTCCTTTTCAAAATCTGATGACCCAGTTCCCTCCATTAACTTGCCACTGCACTCTGGTGACAGGGGACATGAAGTACACTGTGTTTTTGACAGGATTTTTCATATAGTTACCCATGCTGTTGAGCTGACAGTCGCTGCCAGATTACTAGAGAGATAAAGCTGGGAAATGGACTTCCCATGAGCCATAGAGTCATTAATTAATTTGACACTTTCAGCTTGGACAAGGTGGTTTATGCCACTGGTTGGTCTGCCCAATACAGTCTTTCAGTTTCTTATACACAGGCTAGTTGAGCTGCCAACACTGGCAGCAGTATCCTGTAATAGTATTTTATGTTTGGAATTCTAAGACCCAAAGAAGAGAGGGAAATACCTGCTTGCCTCAGGTTAAACAAAAGCTGGAAGAGTAAACTGATACAAGCAACAAGCCCTTGAAAGAAAACAGAACAGCTGGGAACCCTGTGCATCCCTGACGTGACTCCCCAAGGGGACTGAGAAGCATTACACTATGAAAATGAGGGTTTGTCAGCAGCATCCTTGGGAGGGTGAGGAGCAGAACAAAACATCTGAACTTCCTTGTCACATTTGAAACTTAAGGTCACAAACTCACTCTGGTAAGATGCTTGTCACAGATAAAAAAAATCTGTATTATTGAAAGACATGCACGCTTTTACAAAAAGCAAGATTGGATGAGTTATTAATAGCAACATGAAGAAACAGAAGCTGTGGAAATTATATTATTTCCTTACACGGTGTTACCAGAGCAGGTGATGCAGATGGTATCACTGTCCTACAGACCCACTAGTAAAGGAAAGCCTCAACTTGTAGAATGAGTCTTGTTGGAAAGAGAGGGAGAAAAGCACACATTTAATGCTGTGCAGAAAAGAATCTCCAAATAAAGGGGTTTTGATGAATCATTTGATAGAAAGGAAATGCTCAAGTTTTCTTAACAATGCTACCAACTGACAGGGCTTTCATACCACAGAGATGCCGTGGGTGTCATCAATCTAATAATGTACCTGTGTAATTTAGTGATTCTCAGGAAAGAAGTAGATTAGTTTTAACAGAACTTGCAGCTGAATTTAGATTTTGTGGTTTTGTTTCCTTTTGTTTTTTTTCTTTAGGAAAACACAAAGTTAAAATTTCTAGTGTAAATCCAGCATCTTCATGCTAAAATCTGTATGGCAGCATCTTAAATATCTAAATATTTGCATGCAGATAACATCATATATCAGAGATACTTTAGGTATTAAACAAGTCACACAACCCTTAATTCCTATAGATGCCTTCAATTCCACCTGCTAGAAGATGGGCTATCCAGACTATTAATCTTGCATTCCAAAGCATACTTTTGCAATGGTGGAATACAAGGAACAAACCTGACCCAATGATTATAAATTAAATAAATGGATTAGTTATTTATGAGTTATTTATAACCCATATAAATGTCTTAGTTATTTATGATAAGGTAGGCACAAAAAGGAAAAGGATGTTAGTGGACATGACAAAAGAGAATTCTTCACATAAATTGTTTCCTAACTGATACCATACTCTATCAGAAAATAGCTAAGATTATGAAGTATGTGTGTATATACACATATACATACATGCACACAAG